CTTCCTGGCAATACCCTTTAGCAACTAACCATGCCTTGTTCCTTAACACTACCCCTTGCTCATCCTTCTTGTTACGAAAAACCCACTTGGTGCCAATTGCAAGTTTCCCAGCTGGCAGAGATACGAGTGTCCATACTTAGTTTCTGTCAAATTAAACTAACTCGTCTTGCATAGCATCAACCCAGAAGGTGTCTACCAGAGCCTCTGCCACTGTTTTGGGTTCAATTTCGCTTACATAAGAAGTAAATAAGCAGAAATTCGCCGTGGCTCATGTCTTTACACCGGCAGAATGTTCTCCAATGATTTGAGATTGGGGATGGCTTTGGGTCCATTTAGTAACATGCTGTGGTGGAGCAGAGGGCACTGTTTCTTGAGCAATTTGAGGTTGAGGTGGAGATGCAGAGTCTTGATCAGGTTCTTGAGCTTCGTTGGAAGACAAAACTGGAGGACTTTCATTTATTGGAGTAGCTTCTGGTGGAGAAGCTTCTAGAGAAGGGGTCACAGATGATGAAGGGAGGGGAGCTTCCTCTGTGATTGATGTCGTAGAAGGACTTGCTCTGGATGCTTGATCTGGATGCACAACTTCTGCAGAGGATCTTTCTGGATCTGTATCATCTTCGTACCACTCTGCAAAGAGTTGCTTGAGTTCTGGGGTGATTGTAGCATTTGGAGATTTGTCGGCTTGAATTTTCAACTCTTCTRTGAACTTGTCCTTTGTCACTTGAAAAGAATCATCAAATCTTACGTTTGTGCTAACAACCACTATTTGAGTCCTACGGATGTAGGCTCTGTATGCGGCAGTGTCTCATGCATAGCCAATAAAGATTGCATCGTTCCCCTTTGGCTCAAACTTTCCCACAGACTCTTTGTCACTTACGACGAAGCATTTACAACCAAACACATGAAAGAATTTTATGTTTGGCCTTCTATTATGTAGAAGTTGATAGGGGGTCTTCTCAAACCGCTTCACCACCAAGGACTGGTTTTGAGTGTAGCAGGCGGCAGAGACATCTTCTGCCCAAAACGATAATGGTAGCCCAGAGGCATTCAGCATCGTTCTGGCAGCTTCAACAAGCGTCATGTTCTTCCTCTCTACTACTCCATTCTGCTGCGGAGTCCTTGGGGCTGAGAAGTTGTGAGTTATTCCAACAGAGGCTATGTACTATTCGATCACAAAATTCTTGAATTCTGTGCCATTATCGCTCCTTAGTACCCTAACCTGAAGAGCATGAAGAACTTACAATCTCTTTAAGAGATTGTTTAGTACATAGGAAACTTGAGATTTCTTACGAACAAACTCTACCCATGTAAATCTTGAGAATTCATCAATGAGTACAAGGATGTACTTCTTTCCTCCAAGACTCTGCACAGA